ATATATATCTATGTACATATAAAAGCTAATCTTTATTTTTGTCGATTTTTTTTATATTATTTTATTTTTAAAATTTTAAATAATAAAAAAATAATATTGCAAATTAATTAATTTTATAAATTTAAAATTAATTTCAAAATTTCAAAATTAAATATAATATCAAATAATTTAATAGATATTAATAAATCTTAAATATCTTTAAAAAAACGATTTTTCTAATGTGTGTCCTGAAATAGTAGTTTTGGATACCATGCCTAGGGTTTACACCCATTTGTGACGGCAGATGCGGCTGGAAAGGTGTTCCGTAGGATGTAATCTTCCTTTTTTCTGTTTGTTTTCTTAGTTTTGATTACCAAAAAAAATCCACTATCAATGTTTCTTTTTAGTATATTTATTATTTGAGAGAGTAAATAATAATAAATAATATTAATTCTAATTTTTAAAACTAATTTGATGCCCTTTCTAACTCTGTCCTTCCATTTACTTTTTTTCACTTTCAATCAAAATAATAATAAAACAGATTTTAATAATATTTCACTTAAAGTATTAAACATTATTTTTTTTAATGTTTTTTTAACTCTATTATATTTTTGTTGTTACTGGTTTAATAATATTATATATTAATAAATACAAATATTATGTGATATTATTTCATATTTTTTTAATAAAATTAAAATTTAAATATTAGAATTAAAATAAATATTTTTTAAAATTATAAAAATTAAAATATTAATCTTAAATTTAAAAGACTAAAAAGAGTTATTTTAAATTTAAACGATTAAAAATATATTTAAATTTCATTAAAAAATAATATGATTATCTCAAATAATACTTATATTATATGTAATATTTTATTTGAATGTGATATATGTAACTTTTTTTATAAAATTCAAAACGTGTTATATATTTTAAAATGATTATTAAAAATTACTGACTTTAAATTTCAAAAGAATAAAAATTAAAAAATATTACAAGAATAATTAAAACACTTTATTTCATATGGAGTAAAAATATATTTAAATCAATTTTATTTTTAATTTTTGTACATGTTATTTATTCTTTTTTAATTTTAAATTTTTATTTACATCAAAACAAAATAGTAATTTTTATAAAATTATTTATAAACATCAGTATAATACTAGAAAATGAAGAACATATTATACCACATTTGTAACGACCCACCAGGTCTCACACTATCTATAGCGTCCAAATACATGCATAAAATAAAATATCACTACTAAACAATTATATATACAATGAGAATACACAACTAAAAAGTTCATAATATTTATAACTGAAAGTAGGGCATAATACCCTATACAACGACAAGGTAGTCGAATGCTATCAATCAACTAAATGAAACGTCAGCTCTCCTCTTGAGTCTCAACCAAAAAGAAGCTCACCTAGTCTAGTAGAGCACCTAATCCTGATCTGCTCGCATACCATGGTATGGTCATCGCAGTGTCAACCACAAAGGGAAAACATGCTAGGGTAAACTCACAACAATAATCATAAAAAAAAAAAAAAACAACAGGCAACATTTGACCTATTTTAACCAGGTCAGGTATAGGGCATTGTTAAGAACTCTGAGGAAAACCAAGTATAGACAAAAATAGGCAATTGCCTAGGTATGCCACTTAGACTCGGAGGTCCAGTACTATTGTCAATGCAGAAGGGTTTGGGTATGGGCCTACCACGGTCTTGGCTTGCATCACCAATCCACATATGGAGTTAGCCCACCCACTGCCCTCCAAGTATCACGCACCCTCCAGTACCTAGTCAAAGACTACATCTCTTACTAGATACCTTAATTAAATTGTTCATTCAACCATGACATGGATCGACTACTTCCATGTTGCCCACAGTACTAAGAGATTCAACTTTAAAACAACTTTCAACTTACCACCTTAGTACTATGTATCTTCACCATATGTCCCCAACTTTATAACTTTAAAACAATAATCTTTATACAAATTTACAACAATAAGCATCATAATATAAACTTGAATAAACAACTTGAGAAACTATAGTCATCACAATGTCAACTTTACAAATTCACAACTATAGACATCCTTCATTCAGCTTTACAACAATAGTTATCTTGATAACTTTTAATCAACTCAATGCAACGCAACAACTTTAAACAACTTTACAACAATAAACTACTTCAACTTATACATCTCGACTTATTAATAATTAAAACAATAGACAACATGTAAACAACTTAGTTTCATCAAATACACAACTTAGTTTCATCAAATACACAACATATAAACAACTTAAGCCAACAACTACTCAACTCATCTTTATCAGGCAACTTAGCAACTTTATAACCTTATAACAACTCCAACAACATACAACATATCCAACACATAATACAAATCAACCAACATGTTTAAAATTCATCTATCATGCCAACTTACACAAATAAACAACATAAATCAACCTAAGCACCCAAAACAACTTTCAAAACCAAATCACTTATTATGAAATGGTATCCTTCACATAAAATAGTGTATCTGGAATTATACTACTCCTATCATGCTCATCTTTATCTCATATGAAATTTAATAAGATTTACTAAAACTCTTATGAAGACATCAATTCCTAATTCCATCATCTAATTTGTTAAAAATTATAAAAAACTACAACAGTTATAACCAATGCTGACAGCTTGACCCCTGTTTACTAAAACATCCATATTTGGAGTTTTATACCTTTTTTTTGTGATTCCAACGTCATTGGAAAGCTAACATCCAAGGCTAAAACTTTCATGAAGACCACAAAGTCAAATTCTGAAAGCACAAAAGTGCTCAGCGCCTCTAAAGGGCTCAACGCTTTGCCTCCAAGAATTCTCCCCTAGCACGTTGCTCCCAAAAGGCTCAGCCCTTTCAAAAGGCTCATCTGTTTCACCAAGCTCTCAACCGTTTCCAACAACTTTGCCTCCTGGGAATGCTCCTAGGGATGGCAATGGGGGCCCATGGGGGCGGGTAATAGTAAACTCGCCCCCGTCCCGCTGAATGAAAATTGGCCTCATACCCACCCCATATCCGTGTGGGTATTCATGAATTTCTTGAATACCCACGGATATTTATAAATTTTTTAAGAAATTAAAAAAAATTATATTACAAATAATTTTAAGTTTATATTTAATGTCATTGAAATATTAAAAATAAAAATTTAATGTTAATTTTGAACTTGTATTTGACGTTAATTTTGTTGAAATAATAATAAAAATGCAAGATAATCAATAACTTAAAATACACCAATCTCACAAATAAATTAATGTCTCATCACAAAGCTACAATAATTCAATCTCATAATTCCAAACGAAAGTAAACAACTTAAAATACATAAATTTTATTAATCCAATCAAAGCTAGAAAATTAATCAAATTACATCCAACATAATTCTATAACATGCTTAACACATGTTGGTAACTTCATCAACCTCACTTTTGTAAGAAAATAATATGAGAGAGTGTAGTTTTAGGGTTATGTGGTACAAGGATAATTAGGATATTTAAGAAATATTATTAAATGGGTACCATCATCATACCCGCCCCGCCTGTTTATAAACGGGTAAAATATTATTCGTCCCCATTATCTGCGGGTACCCAATTAGCCTATCCATTTATTATCTATAGCAGATTTTACCCGCAGATACTCACGGGTACGAGTATTTTTTCCATCCCTAAATGTTCCCCTTGCACACAGCCCCCAAAGGGCTCAACCTTTTCAAAGGGCTCAACCGTTGATGCTAGAAACACATAGGTTCTTCACCATTTCCACCGAAACCAGAACGCAAGTGCACCCAATTCATATAAAATCATCAATGCAAAAAGATCCAACACACAAAATCATACATTTTCAGCACACAACCCAACATGCAACTCAGAAATCATCATAAATACCACATGCAAATAGGGGTTTACAAAAAATCCAAATTGATCAGAACCGGTCCATAACTGATCCGATCCGTATTGAAAAATCTGATCCATTTTGAAAAAAAATTCGAACCGAACCACTTTATAAAATCGATTCAGTTATCCGATCCATTTTTATAAAGTGGATCGGTTCTATTCAGTTTGATTTTTTAAAAAAATTGATCCATATATGAATAAAAAGTGGATAACTGCACTGCACCGAACCAATCCAATTTCAAAAAAACAAATTCATATTTTAAAAAAATCAAACCGATCCACTTTATAAAAAATGGATCGGTTAACCGATCCATGAACACCCCTACATGCAAACATCAAACAACACAATTCCATCACATTTTCAACTCTTCCCCAAAACCCATTTTAACTTCAATTTGCACCCAACAACTCAATTATTTCTAGGAAAAACAAACAAATGCATGAAGCTTCCCTAACCTCAGAGGAAGGAGAATCTGACTCTGAGCTAAAGAGAAAGGAGAAGAAGAAGTGTCCGCATGACTTCGGGGTTGAGGAATGACTACGAAACTTCAACGAATTCCTTGCACTCCTAAGGTTCAACAACTTGCAAATGAGACCATAATTGTATCCATTTCAACTAAAGAGTGAAGAGTGAAGAGTGAAGAGTGAAGGAAAGATGGGTGTTTAGGCCATTTGAGGTTCAAAAAGGAAAAATGAATGAATAAAGGGAATGAATAGAAATGAGAGGGGGAGGAGGAATACTGCGGGCCTTACAACATTATAACACTAATATAATTTGAAACATATCTCACAACAACAATAATAGAAAAAATCAATCGTTAAAAAAATAAAATAATATTTAATACTTTAAGAGAAATATTATTGAAATATATTTTATTATTATTTAGATTAAGAATGAAAAAAATAAATAAAAGAATAAAATTAAAAATGACATCAAATTAATTTAAAAAATTAAAAATATTTTTTATTGTTATTTCCTCTCTTACATAACAAATACAATAATGGATATTAATAATCGTTAAAGTTTATCTTTATGAACGACAAGGCATTTAAACTCGTTGGCTTGAAGCTTGTGGCTCCAACTTCCACCTTCCAACCCCTCCCTCACCGAAGGGTAAGGGTAGTTTTTCTTGAGGATAACAACTCTCCTTGTAGGGTACGTTTCAGTTCAATTGGACCAACTCCTTTGTGGTTTTTGCAGATTCATTCAATTCAATGGCTTCACTAATGCTGAGTGGAACCGAAAAGCTCACACTCAGAACCCTAAATGGAAACGGCTTCGGATTCACGGGTTCCGATTTGCACGGTAAGACCTTTCCAAGAGTGAGTTTCGTAGCCACCACTAGTGCTAATACTAGAATTAGAATCCCAAACATTGTGGTACCCAAGTGCAGTGTCTCGGCTTCGAGGCCAAGCTCGCAGCCTAGGTTCATTCAGCACAAAAAAGAGGCTTTTTGGTTCTATAGGTTTCTCTCAATTGTGTATGACCATGTTATTAACCCTGGCCATTGGACCGAGGACATGAGGGATGATGCCCTTGAACCCGCTGATCTCAGTGACAGGAACATGATAGTGTTGGATGTTGGTGGTGGCACGGGTTTCACCACTTTGGGTATTGTCAAACATGTTGATGCAAAGAATGTCACCATTCTTGACCAGTCACCCCATCAGCTTGCTAGGGCCAAGCAGAAGGAGCCGCTCAAGGACTGCAAAATAGTCCAAGGGGATGCTGAGGATCTCCCCTTTCGAACCGATTATGCTGATAGATATGTATCCGCAGGAAGGTATGCCTGTGTCTTCACCAAAAATGATCACAACTTTGCATTCGTCTTGTTCAAGTGTTCAATTTATTCACTGACATAGATTTCAAGTTATTTGTAGAGTAAATTACTCTAGCACCTCCTGAGGCTTCGTGAGATTGCATGTAATCCCCTGTTTTTTAAACGTTTATAGCAACATCCTTTATAGAAGACAAAATATAATGTTTTTCAAACAGTTAAGGGGATTAATGTAGTGTCTAAGGGGTGTCAATGTTATTTTTTATTCAAACTATTAAGGGAAGTTAGTACCCTTAGTAAAGGGTTAGAAAAAACAGATGATTTATCTGTAAGTTCAGGAAACCGCAGGAAGTGTCAATGTAATTTACTCTTTTTTGTATATAGATGTAGTAGTTTGCTTTAAAAGAGGTGATGATGATGATTGATGATATGCTTTTGTTTCTTAGTATTGAGTACTGGCCCGATCCGCAGCGTGGCATCAAGGAAGCATACAGGGTTTTGAAACTTGGGGGCAAAGCGTGTCTAATTGGTCCGGTCTACCCAACATTTTGGTTGTCACGTTTCTTTGCAGATGTTTGGATGCTCTTCCCCAAGGAGGAAGAGTATATTGAGTGGTTTCAGAAGGCAGGGTTTAAGGATGTCCAACTAAAAAGGATTGGCCCAAAGTGGTATCGTGGGGTTCGCCGTCATGGCTTGATTATGGGTTGTTCAGTGACTGGTGTTAAGCCTGCATCTGGAGATTCTCCTTTGCAGGTATTTGTCATCTTAGCTTCTCAATCTGTATTTTAGCTGTATGTTTGCTGGCCCTTGTTCTTTTTGGGGGATTTTTTTTTTTTTTTTTTTTTTTTTTTTTTTTTTATTGTTTTACTTTATCTTAGAATCGTAGGCAGGTTGTATTGTATGTTGCCTTATCTCTCTCGTTGATGGCGTGCGTCTGTTTATGCAAATATACATCCTAACATTTTATGATTTGCAGAACATAAACCAAGTGGAAACTTGGATAGTTAACAGCTGTGGACACCTCATACTGACCAACTATTACACATTTAACACTAGAATTAACATTATTCTTTGTTGCCCCATCTTTCCTGAATTCTGTTTACTTGAGCACATTTGAGTATATATCCCATTCTTTATGATTTTGATCCTTTTACCGACAAGTTTATTTTTGGAGGCTGGCACAAATTTCTGTCTTCCTTAATGAAACTTTAAGGTCACAAAAATCCTCTTACCGTGAATATGTACATATTTTTTTTTATATTTTCTTAGGCTGTTTTGCACTTGTGCTTGAAGATGACTGGTCATATATTGGTAATAAGGAAAGAAAGTATAACATTGAAACAGTTAAACTGTTTACTTGTGTTAATAAAGAAAAATGAAAATAATAATAAAAAAAAACCATTCACTAAGTATGATGAACAAACTAATGAGATTGGTTTTACTGGTTTCTTTCAGTTTTAATTTACATGCTCGGTTAATTCAGGTTTTTCAAACTTTCATTTCAACTCATTCTTTGAATAAATTGAAGTTCAATAATACAATTCATATGTTAACAAAATTATTGTACATAGGCAGGAAAATGTAATGGGTTTCTTCAACTAAATGTTATCTTTTAGGTTCTTTGAGTGAATGCTATGAGTACTTCGGTTTTGAGTCTGGATTTCCAACAAAGCACCAACGTGCCTATGCCAGACACTGTTTTCTTGCTTCACTGCATAGTGTTTCTATTCAAAATAATAATGTCATAGTATTTATGGCTGTATTGCATATGTGAATTGTTTTAAAAAAAAATTGACAATATTATTCCCTTGAATTTGCAAAAAGGCAGTGCATTAAATATTTCCTTATCGTAGCTTCACTAGAGGGAGTAATATAAAATATGCTGATTGGTTTTGGTTTCTACAATTTGCTGCAGCTTGGTCCAAAGGAAGAAGATGTTGAAAAGCCTGTTAATCCTTTTGTCTTCTTAATGCGCTTTCTTTTGGGTGCCATTGCAGCTACATGGTATGTGTTGGTTCCTATTTATATGTGGCTCAAAGATCAAGTTGTTCCCGAAGGTCAGCCAATCTAATAAGAGATATTGGTAGTTAGTGAACCTTATGATACTTATCAGTGTCTTGTTCAATGTTTCATCAAATTCAAATATACGTGCAGTTAAGAAATATTTTATCAAACGTCAATAAGTTCATTATATGCGACTGTATTTTCTGGCTTCTCTTGCGAGCTAATGATAATTTTTGGTGGGAGGGCCTTATGCGACTGTATTTTACACGGTCAATTTAATTTCTGAAAATATGTAGGAACGATTTTGGAACTTAAATTCTGAAAATATTAAAATCGTATGCACTTTCAAAAGCTAAATTTTAGAAGAACGTAAAGCTTTTACACTTCTAATAAATTTTGAAAAGTTATTGTAATGACATTATTACAAGTGTATGCAACATATATAGAAAGTAGGGTACAAACCACATTTATAAATTCAACACACAAAAAGGTAATGCATGCCCAGGACTCCAGGAGATGCAATATCAAATTCTTCTCCTGGCTAGTACAAATCCATCTGGACATGCGAAATATTTTTTCCAAAATTGTTCTTACATATCCCTGGAAATTAGCTTGCGGAAATATGTAAACTTCTATATCTTTAGAATTAAAATTTTTAAAACAGTATTTAAAGATATTATTGATAAAATTTGACTAGAAAAAAAAGGGTAAGCAAAAGGAAATGACTTATTTTATTTATGGAAAAGCTTCATGTCAAATTTATTATTTCTTTGTCATCATGTTCAAAACTTAATTTGTCTCGTATGGATATCTTTCTAAAATTCCAATGTCCATTTTTAATAAATATTACGCTTAAATATTCGTTTTAGGTGTTCGTATTATATGGTGATGTTTTTAGTTTTGGTTCTTATAATTTTTTTTTACAATAGTTCTTGTAATATTTTTTTGTTTCTTATTATTTTGTCTATCTTTGTAATATTTTTTTTTGTAATATGTGAATAGTTTGTATTTTGTTCCCACTATTTTTCTTTCAAAGGGACTAATTAAAAATTAATATTTTAGGGACTAAGAGTTTGTCGGAAAAAACTTTAAAAATTAGATTATTTTGATAATCAATTATTGTTATAATCAATTTTAATTAGAGTGACAATTTATTTAGATAATTTTATTAAAAAATGATTTTTAGATGACTAATTTCGATTGGATACAATAAAATATCATATTTTATATAGTAATTCAGCTTAAAAAAATATTAAAAAATGATGATAATTTTCAAAGTTTCACTTTCAAAAAGCAATTTACATTTTTAGAAAAAACGGTTAAAAGCCTAAAACTGAGAAAATCAATCTCTTTTCAACATGCTTTAAGTATATATATATATAT